TCCAGTTTTTCTCACCATTATAGTCTCTGCACTGACCTTTGTGTATTTACTGAATATCTGAAAAAAATATTTTGGGACCAACAGGTATTAAAAGTACTATTAGCACTCTCTTAGGAATAATAAGTATAACTACTCAAAGAGTACTGAAGAGGAGTCCCCACACTTGAATATGCTAGAGAATATAAGATAGCATCATGGGTCTGCATCACCGGCAGCAATAATCCAGCAACCAAATCTATCACATAGTCCCACCTAACTACAAGGACACAAGAAATAACCCAAAGAAGAAATGCACACAAGTCTAATGAGCACCTACCCAGTCTTTGTCATAGTCTGCTCCTTTGAATACTAAATTTCTGTTCCTTCTTTTTTCCAGAAGGAGAGTACACCTCCTTCTTCCTCAAGAGATGCCCCAGAGTTGTGTCAGAAACTGCATCTATCTCAGTCCAGGATGCCTGGATAATTTCTAATCTTCCTCCTCAGGTCCATATGTGGTTCCTCATGGTCCAATAACGTGTGAAACAAATATAAAGTTACCTCCTGCTTTCCCCCAAAAGCACATGATATATGGTAATAGAGTAGATAATAGGAAATCCTTAATAAAACTCCATTAGCGAAATGATAGAAAAGGAGGCACACAGCAGTCACTAGTTCAAATAAACTAGCAGAATCCTCCTGAGGAGTCACTAAGAAAATTCCCTATGGAAGTTGTTTGAATACATAATGATTCTTTCCTGGTAGGCACTGTCTTCTTTGCAGTTGTTGTTGATATTGTTGTTGCTGATGATAATGATGATAATGTTGTTGTTAATATTGTTGTTGTTGTTAAGCGACTCTTGGATCCAAGTCTCTAGGAAGATGTTACTTGCTCCTAGCTTTTTACTTGCTTCTAAGTTACATCTTGCTGTTATTCTCCCTGGAAGCGGTAGAGTTTGTGTAATTTTAATTCCTACAGCTTATTTTACTTTTTGATTACTCAGTTGAATGAAGGCTTATAGTTTCATTAGCAGTGGGATTTTCTAAAATTTGTGTTATTTATTTCCAATTAATTCTACATGACAATAATCACATTGGAAGTCTTTTTTATACATAGTTCTAACATCTCCTTTGGTCCTTACCCCCTTTCTTAGTCTCTTAGTGGCCTGAGACAATGGATTAAGTTTTTTAAAAAGCATATCTTTACTATTCTTTTTGATGCAATGTTAATCTTAGTGGATATCTGTTTAAAGCTCAAGATCCAAATACCCAGTATCTCTCTGTGTTCTTTCATTTTTAGTTATGAACTAGCCAGTATTTCTCTCAGTTCAACTTATTTTTATGACTGCCCAAACACAACCAGAAATCACCAACACATTTTAATAATATTGCTTCTTTTCTTTACCTAAAGCTACAAAGCTCAACAATCACACGGGGTATATTTTAAGCTATTCCTGGTGTCAGTTTTACCATCTTTACACAGGTTTTACCATCTTTACATCTGCAGAGTTTTAAATTGCTACATATTTTACAAACACAAATGACCCCATGCAGCCACTTAATGGAAAGTACTAGGCCAGTGCCACAGCTCTTCCCTGCTTCTTATGTTTTTATTGGTGAGAAAGTGTGTCACTCTACCTCTCTAATGTCTATAACCAGACCCTCAGCTCCATCTCCTCTGCTTCTGCATCATTCTTTCTTACATGAGCCACTCTCTCCTTATTGACCACTATGCCTCAAAAATTCATTCGTATCCTCCCTCCTCTCCTACCTAGTAAACATTCTAAAACAAGAGTGACCATGGCAACTTTTCCCAAAAACATTTAAATTGTTCCTATACTTTGAGATTGAAATTCAGTGTTCTTTAGTCTCAATTTTCAGTCCTTGTGTTAGGTAATATCGTTTTAGTTTCCTCAAATACAACATAGCCAGATGTCTAGCATCATCTAGGAAATAATTCCTCACTAGAGAGAATGAGTTAAAACTTATTTGTTCTTCAACGTTTACCAAAGTCTTTAAATTTCCTGGGGATCCATCCCTGACTCCTCAATCTAAATGAAGTCCATATTTACTTCAAAGCATCTTGCTTCTATTATAAACCATATTATAATCTAATTATCTGTCCTCCTTCATCCCATAGCATACAAACTACATACTTCAAATAGCACATCTTCAGTCCTTCTAGACTTCACATGATAAATACATAGATGTTGTTTGAACAAATGCATGAACCACACAATTTCAGTATGATAATGACCTCCCACATCTATTTTGAATCCTAACCTGCCTTCCTCTTAAGAGCCGGATCTCCTTTTCCAACTTCCTAATGGCTATCTCCATTTGCATACCTGCTTAAAAGTACAAAAAAAATTATTAATTTCTCCCATCCTTTTCCCCACCTATTCAATATCTGCCCCCCCCATGTTTTTAATGTTTTAAATATTTCTGTTCCTCCAAAATTCATGTTGGAACCTAACATCCAATCTGATAGTATTAAACACCATAGTGGTGAACATCTGTACTCCCAGCATCCTGGGAGGCTACAGCAGGAGAACCGTAAGTTCAAGTCAAGCCTGGGCAACTCAGCAAGATCCTGTATCAAAATAAAATACTGTGTAAAGGTATGTATTGTTTGGGGGCAATAATTAGGTTTTTAGGGATCCACCTTCATGAATGAAAATGATACTATTAATAAAAAGGCTTCAGAGAACTCCCTAATCCTTTTAGCTTCCCATCTTTTCTACCATGTGAGAACATAGCTTTCCATCCCGCCGGAGATGCAGTGTTCAAGCTCTTGGAAGCAGAGTTCAGGTTTTCCTCAGATATAAAACCTTCTGGTGCCTTGGTCTTTGGTTTTCCTCCATAACTGTGAGCAACAAATTCAGGTCATTTTATATTACCCCACCTACAACATACCTTGAATTCCTACCTCAACTCAGTGAAGTACATCTAGTTTCCCAGTCAGTATCTTTCTCAAGATCTTCATGTTCACTACATAATCAGTTGATTCTTCAAAGACCTGTTTGTTAATTTACCCTGAAGTAATCCTCCAGTTCTGAATTACTCAATATATCTTTTTAAGTCCCTAATCTCAAAACACTTCTTGGCATAATATGAAAAAATGGACATTCAGTAAATAGATTTCTGAAGTAATTCTCAGAGTTTACAATATATTATTGATCAATAGTAATTGCCAAGAAGGAAATATAGTGTGCATAGTTTTCAAATTTATCTGACCAGCAAGCTCTTTGTTCAGATTGGTATTCTGAAGACTACACTTGGAGAAATTCTGAGGAAGTTTCTCTGCCGTACACTTCATGTTTCACTGCTCTCCTTCACATGAGCTGCTGCCATCCTTAACTGGACAATCTCTTCTCAGACAGCCCTTACATATGTCTTTATTGTCATTCTAGAAACTGTCTCTGCTGCCAGTTTTATTTTCCTAACAGAAATATCTGATCATATGTCCCACTGCCCTCACCCAAAATCAATATCAGCTCTTTATACATAGATTCAAATCTTAGGCCTGTTTATCTTCTCAGAATGTGGCCCCACACATCTTCCCAGCTTCATTTCCTACCAAACTGCCCTTTTCACAAAGTATATCATGATCTTTTACCTTCCAGATCTTTAATACAACTTGCTCCCATTGCTACATATGGTTTCTCTTTTTTATTTTCAAGAGAAAAAAAAAAACAATAAAAACAATGTACACAATTTCAAAACAAGATAGTAGGAGAGTAACAATAGTTAGCATAGTGTGTATGGTTATCTTCAAAGTAGTTGCTCAGATTACTAGATATAGGCGTGAAAACTCATCAAACAGTATAAACACTAACCTTTCTTTTCAGTGAAGTAATAGGTAGGCATCCAGAAGGAACTGCTAGGCTAAAGCCAGTCCACAATGAACTAATAAAATTAGTAGTATAGCTATCTCAGCTATCTTGTGTGTGTGTGTGTGTGTGTGTGTGTGTGTGTGTGTGTGTGTGTAATTTTCTTTTTCCCTTCCTTCTCTTCTCCTTCCCCCATCTGTTTTTCTTTCCTTTGGGACAGTTTCTTCCCATTTCTCAATATCTGTTGTGCATTGTGGATCTTATTTACTCGTTCGGCTTCTTACACTAGGGAAACAATCCAATGTTTACGTATGGTCTCTCTTATTCCCATCCTGCCACTAAACAAACCTCTCCTTAAGACCTATCATTAGTTAGATCCAATTTCATAAATATTCATTCTGATCCTTGCTTTCTACTCCTCCATGCTTCCATAATGCTTTTCCACCTCCCTCTTTTTACAGCAATTATCACAGTGTAGAATAAGAGATCGCCTTGTGTTTATCCCCACCAATACTTTCTGAAATCAAATCTTTGATCTCCAGTTCCTAACATTGCCTGGCACAGATTAAGTGCTCTTTGTTGAATGAAAAAAACAAATAAATAAATGCATGAATACCTTTAGAGATAACCATGAGGGAAAAAATTGAGATGTGACTTTGAAAGTTAAGTTTGTTGTACAGAGTCATTTATTTAAACCAGCACTGTCAGGAACACAATAGCTCTTTGCTTATATAGACCCCTGTTTTGGCCTTACTATGTTTCTGGTGAACAATGCAACTTTACTATAATTTGTCTTAAGGGAAAATTCTATAGCTCCCAAAACCTGTATAGAGTTTTGAGGGAACGTACTTATAACAGGTTTCCTGACCTACCTAACTCACCCAGCAGAATTCAGGTCTAAACATAGGACTGCTCTAGTAACAGTGAAATAAACAGTCTCAGGATTTATGCTAAAAAAAAAACTCATCCCTGGAAAACACACAGCCAATTTTTGTTCCTACATTTCCCTTTCCCATTAAGATGATCTCATCTCAAAGTCTGGCATGCCCCAAAGATTCGCAGCTCTATTGACTGTACCGCTTCACCTTTCATTGATAAAATGTAAAGTTTAGGGTATTATCTCAACAAAAAAATTCCATTCCTGTTTTGCTTGTTGGTTTGCTGAGTTTCTTGATTACATTCAAACCTTACCTCTTGCAGTAAGATCCGCAGACCAGTGTTTCTCTTTTATACTAAAAAAATGTGGCTCCTTGAAAGCAGATTTTCCTCTTGAAGGCTCCTCAGAAGGTCGACATTTGGAAGACTCCTCGGGAAGACAAATATGTCGAAGTGCTGTCCGATGTTCTTGGGACACATCAACACCAAGTGTTTCATTTTTCTTAATCTCCAGAGGTATGTATTTGGTAGTTTTTGGTTTTTGGTGTTTATTCCTAAAAACATTTATAGAAGGACCTTGAACTTTATTCTAGGAACAGAACAAAAATATTTTTTAAAATTTACTTTATTTGTTACTCCGTTATGTATCACTCTTATCAATAAATAAAACTGTAAAATAAATTCACAAATTGGATAATAAATTTCAGTTGTTAAATTTATAAAATTATATCTTTAGGAAATATGGCTTACAGTGCTTCTTACTATGTAAGTTGTTTACTATAAAGTACATGACCGGAATCAGCTAAGTCAGATGTTGTTCTATGTAGCTTTCCACAAGCCCTTACATTAAACTTATAGTCCACTTCAAAATAAATGTAAGTTTTAAAATAGTAACTTTGTCTTTACATGTGATAGTTTAAAATACAGACTCAAAGTTCATTTTAAAAATAGGAGTTTTCAAGTAGACATATAGGAATATAATTGTATTCATTCCTCTCTGAAGAACTCTTAACCGTCTGTAAAATGCTAACATTCCCAAACCTCTCTGTCTTCTAAACTGGAAATGCGGAGCATACAGGGAGGAAAGCTCTCAAGAAATCCATATTGATAATGGGAAATATATTGCAAACTGATTCAATCATTTAATTTTTTCCCAATTTTGATTAACATGAATAAGAGAAAACAAATGCAGCTTTGTGTCTTTGAACAGTAATTACCCAAACAATGATGATTGTTCTGTAGGTAAAATTATTACTCCTCCACCCTCCCCAAATAAAAATGTTTTGAAAAATTCAAATTGTTACCAATTCAAATTGTTTTCAACTCAGAGTGTCACTAGAGCTTTAGTACACTGATAACATGTTTAGCCAGGCAATTTAAGATAGAATTTTAGGCCACTGATACTAGACAGAATCCTTAAAGCAGGTCAAGGGCCTAACTAAGGTAGCTGTATCTAACTCTGCATAGTATGAATTATTTATTTCATGTTCCTATTTATGAAATTAATATAATTGAAATAATTTTTAATTTGTCAGAGAAAAAGTTAATCAAGTAATGTTAACAGTGTTGACTACAAGATAGAAAATATTTATGGCCAGGAGCAGTGGTGGCGAACCTACAGCACAAGTGCCACAGCTGGCTGTTCGTTAGCATTGAAAGCTCTCAAAGGTTTGCCATGGCTGAGAGGATCATTCAAAAGAAATACAAGTAAAAATGAAAATCTCCCTTCCCACCAAAAAAAGCATTAAAACCTTTAAAATCATTATTTAAAATTCTAAATTTTTAAGTGTTGAAAAAGAAAATAAGTCACAAGTGGAATATAATTCTCATGTTTGTGAGTCAATCTCCTTTCCTCACCTGTGTCCCCAAAGGTCCATCTGTCACACAAGGTGCCCCTTCCCCAAGTTATCCACCTGCTCTGTGGATGCTTCTCTATGCCATCCCATCCCTTTCACCCTTTTTGCTCACATTCCAAATGTATGTTATCCAGAAGGTATTTATTGCGTGAGGCACAGTGCTTGTTGCTGGAGATGCAGCATTCAAAAAAGACAGTCTATGCCCTTGAGTAGCTATAGGCCTGGCTGACAGTTCTAATGCAAGGCAGTGCGGGGGAGAACACAGGTAAAGTGTCATGCTAAGGGAACCGAAGATATGCATCTTGCAGTAGATTTTTCACTTTAGCTTGTCTGATAGAATGCAAAGGGATATTTATTTGAAACAAATTTAAATAACTGTGTTATAATTCATCAAAAGAAAACATCAAAGTTGTTTTGCATGTACATTCTAAATATATATGTCAAATTAAACAATTTGTAGAACTAAACAATCTTATTTTTAAATGCCATCAAAAATCAATTTTTGCAGCTACTAAGTATTTCACTTTCCCCTTTATTCAGAGCCTATTTCATACTAGGATTCATGAAATCCTTTGAAACAACCATTACAGCACACAAAAAAAGGTCATTATTTTTCTGAAAAATGATATTAGATAAATTCAAAGCACTAACCTCATTTATTTTCTTATAATGTTGAGCAATGAGACTTTTTGCTTCTTGAAGAAAATCTTGCCCTGTGATCTCTAACTTAGGACCTAAAAGAGAAACAGAGAAACAACTTATGTTTTTTAAAGGTAGCTATTTATACTTTCTCAGTCAAAATTATAAAATAAAATTTAAGAAAAGTTATGAATCTTTCAGGGTGTTATATAAAGTGAATTTTATAACTAGACATAAGTGAATGTAAAAGATGTTAGTGTTGTGATCCTTTAACAGAATATTTTGCTATTTAAAAAGCAAAAACCACTTGTTTTTTTTTGGGGGGGGGTTTTCCTCCGGTACCGGGAACCGAACTCATGACCTTGCGCTTGCCAGGCAGGCGCTTTGCCGCTGAGCTAAATCCCCAGCCCCAGCAAAAACCACTTGTAATTGTCACACTGATTAATTTTCCGAAATTATTAAATCCCAGGGAAACCAAACATAAAGCACAAAATTTAGATATCCACCTTTGTTGAAAATTCTGTAAGTTTTATTATATGGAAGCTACAACGACATATTTTGGGCATAAAAGTTTTTAACAAGTTTCTCTAATTTCCATAGCTGCTGACTAATGCATGTGGCTCTACATTTCTTCAAGAATATTTACCTTACAATTTGTTGATAAAATTGTAACTGCAAAATAAAATGCCTCAATACATTTACTAAATGGGAATAGTGATGAAATAAAAATATACACACACCTCCATATAAGAACAGTGATAAAATAAAAATATATACATACCTCCATATAATTAATTACATGTCTAATTATTAGTTTCTTAATTTCTTTTAACCCAGGCTATCTACAGAATTTTACGGCATGAACATTGTCAAAAACATTCTCATTTTGTCTTGTCTAAGATTTCCTCTTTATGTATTTCTTTTATTTTTAGCTGAGTCTGATGTTTATAAGTGTATTTTGGAGTCCTCCTCTTCATCTGAATTAAGTAGAATTTAAATATATTATGTATTCAAATTAGCTTTTGGTCTGTCCAGTGTGCTCCCCATTTCTAAAACTCTACCTCGTTCAGGACTCTTACAATCAAGGCTGCCTTTCCCTTCTTTTCATCCTCTCAAATTTTAAGCAATTAGACCTCAATTTTCATGCTGACCAAAATCATAACGAGATACTTCCACACATCCACCAACATGACTAAAATTTAAAGGGCAGATAAGATAAAATCTTGGTGAGGTTGTGAAGTTACTGAGACCCTCACATGTTGCCGGTAGAAATATAAAATGGAATAATCAGTTTCAAAAAGGTTTGACAAGTGACCCAGCATCACCACTTCTGGGTACATATCACAGAAAATGGAAGTATGTTTACAAAGTCTTGTACAACAATGTTCACAGCACCTTTACTCATAAATTGGAAATGGCCTAGATGTGTACTGACAATAGAATGGATAAGCAAAATGTAGTATATTAATACAAAAAAAACCTGCCCATCTATAAAAAAGAACCAAACTACTGACATGCACAATGTAGAAAATTTTCAAAAACATTATATTGAGTTAAAGCAACCTTACACATAAAAACATATATTGTATGGTTCCACTTACATGAAATTCTAGAGCAATCAAAACTAATCTATGATAAAAAGCAAATGGTGAATCTTCTATTAGATGGTATCAAGGATTAACTACTTATAAGGAATATGAAAGAAATTTCTGAGAAGATAGTAATGTTCTATAGCTTGATAGGAATATAGATTATACAGGCCTATGTAACTAACATAACTCAGTGACTGTACATCTAAGATTTCTGCATTTCATTTTGTGTACATTTTAAATTACAATATTATACATTGTTATATAGTCAAATGTTAGTTATAGTTAAATGTTACATACCTGTAGAAAAATAATAAACAAATACTGATTTCTGACTGATACTGATTTCTGGTGTTGACTGATGAATGAATAAGTGATCAATTATAGTAAAATACTATTGGTAAGAGTTGGGTGGTAAACGTTTGTGTTGTTTCAAAATTCTTTGGGATTTGCTATGCATAAGTTTTCATGATAAAGTATTGATAAAGGGTAAAACCTCCTTCCTTCCTGCACAAAATAATCCTCTGCTTTTCCCCATGTAGATTCATGAGTCACATATTGCTCCTGCAGTGGGAGCCTCAAGAAAAAGCCTATGAAAGGGACTTCACCAGTAAAGAGGTGAGATGACTGGACTCTCATCCACCCTGGTGAAATGGGAGTGGAAGCATGCTCAAAGCCCCTTGTCAAGACAGCAGAGCTGGAGTTGTCCATCCGCGGGTATTCTAGAAAGAAGGACACCTCCTCCTGCTCTCCATGGTTTAAAGTCCTTACCAAACTCTCATCTCCTAGTCCTTGCATATGGCCAGTGTAATTATCCACCCTGAGGACTATGTCCTCCAAGGTTATTGACTGGTGGCATGTTTCCTTCTACTCAATAAACAGTAGTTGTCAAGACTTCATGCACATGTTTCTGGAGAAGTATATGTAGTCTTGTGCACAATGGAACACAAACTCATATATAAATTATGAGATTATCTATGTGGATTTCCCAGTTCAGAGAGCCACAGGAGTCACTGTCCTCACATGGAAGAGACAGGAATTCAGAAATATAAACTATCAGTTTCATCAGTTTTTAACCAAATTCTAATTCTTCTTTGTGAAGGCCCCTAGCCAGAGCACTTTCTTCTTGGAGAAAAGGCTATCAGATGTTCTCAGGTGTGACTCCACAACTCGTCCTCTTTTTCCTCCTTCCATGACAGTCTTATCCTTTATTAATTGCTCTCTTCTGACTAATCAGATCTTCCTTATAATTCTTTAACTGCAATTACTTATAATAACAACATTGCCATTCCCTATGCCTGTGACAAGCAATATAATGAAATGTTCAATTACTGATTTGGTTGAAACTGGAGCTTTGTAAAACCACCACACGTTTCAGCCAAGGCCACAGGAAGGACCCCGGTCTTCCCGCAAAGGCGAAGCTGAGACACAGCAGGCCTGAGTGCCCCCCAAAGCCGCACACCTCTGCTGTGCGTCTGCGCAGGCTCTCGTCTCTTGAGTCACTAGCTGCCTTTTCTACACATGTGCTGCTTTTCGTGAGGCCGTGCTGGTACTGGAGACTCCTGAGACTTGGCTGGTACATTCACTGACGCTCATTTTAAGCCAGCACTCCTGCACCCCATAGTCATTGAATGGGCTGACGTAGCTGTTCTGATTTTCCCCCCAGTAACCAAAAATAAGCTTTTGTCACAGGAGCTGAGTTTGAAAGATACCATGTTCTTCCCAGTTGCTCTTTCGAGTTGAACGCTGTGCCTGCCCACAAGTGCCACCTGGCCCCGGGAACTCATGCAGAAGCTCCTGCGCACCCTGGCAAACGGAATGGGCTCTGTGGAGCTGGCACACAGGTTGAGACACGTTGAGGTCCTGCTCTGGTGCATTCGGAGATGCTTGGATGGAACAAGGCCTGGCATCGCTCGTGAAGGGGCAGAGAGAGGCAACCAGGGCCAGACACGGCAGTTTCACAGGGATCTTGACTGCAGCTCCCTGAAGGCCTGTGGAACGTCAAGTGACATGCCGAGGCAGCTGTTCTGATTTTTTCTATAAATAAAGTTATCCTTGAAGAAAAGAACTAAATTCCCAAGATGGTACATGATAAGTCATATCTTAATGGCTTAGAAAAGGCAATGCTAGTTTTTCTCTTTAGTTTTATAATATCCAAAATATGTATATTTTCAGTAAATGAATCTAAAATTATTAGAAATTAAACAGCCCATACACTAAGACTCCATCCACTTAATAAGATCTGAGGCCTCTATTTCTCTGTCCACAATGGTGTATGCATACTTGTCGGAGCACGGAACTTTTTACATTCAAGTGCACACTACAAATTATTAAGAGGAAGTTGCCAATGCCTGCCCTTTCTCTGTTAAGACATCTACACTTACGGCTTTGTTTGTGAATATAACTCCATGTCATACAGTGATTTTTTAAGAGTACCCATCCTTGAGTCACACAGTTGTATTTGAATTGAAATTTGCTCATGAACCTTACTTTATCTTCAGCCTTAGTTTTCTAATTTGTGAAATAAGAAAAGCAATTTATGTCACAGAGTTAAGAGAAAATGCTGAGACACTGTCACACAGCATTTTTTTTTGATACCAGGAATCGAACTCACAGCCTTACACTTGCCAGGCGGACGCTGTATGGCTGAGCTATATCCGCAGCCCTATGTCACACAGCAATTAGCACAGTGCCTGGTACATAAGAAGCTTTCAATAAATGTAACCAATTATTGTCACTATCTGTGTTATTATAGTACTATAATTGTTATGTGGTATTATCATTATAGTACTATCTGTGTCATTATAGTAATATCATTGGATTTAACTTGTCTCTTAATAGTGTTCAATAATTTCACTAGCCAATCATCATTTCTTTTTTTAGCAAAAAATAGACAATTTTCTAATTTAGTTTATGAATGAATGGATTGCCTCATCATACTGTTTTTTCCAAAACTAATTAATCTGTTCACAGATAATAAAATCTCTTCATCCTTAGAATTTGTCAAGTTACTAAATCCCCAAAAAGAAATAATAAATTATTACCAGCAGATGTTTTACAATAAAGTTTATGAAGAGGTTGAAATGGTCACATTAAATTGACCTAAAACAATTATTAACATTTCCGTAAGAAAAAAAAGATGTGACTGCCTCTAACCTCAAGGGTTTTCACCAGTCTAAAATAATTCCTGACGCTTATTTTCTTTTTAAGGGAAGATTCATTCTCCGTATATCATCAGTTTAATGTTATTGCTCTGATGGCTCATAAGCTGCAGCTTTCTCTTACTCCTTTAGGGTTTCTCTATAGTTTCTCCAGTAAATCTCTGAAGTGATGATGCAAAGAGAAAATCTAGCTAATGAAAGTATGACAGGGACTGAGCCATCTCTTGATCATAACCATTGAGCAAGGCTTCTCTGCACTCAGAAAGCCCCAAGAGCTTGCAAATATGTGTTTTCACAACTGTAAGAAATAACTGGGCCCACTCAGAGGGTTTCCATCCTTCCCGATGAAAGACTACACTGTCCAGACAGGCTTTGCAAAACTTTGTTGTGAATATAATCCTGAACAAAGGTGTGGCCACATGCCTCAGGCCATTCTTCTGTATAAAATCAGGGTGAGCGTGTAATGGTGTCTGATTTCACAGGCGTTAGCAAAGCATCCTCCCTGCAACTCAGTCCCAGGCGCAATAGGACTCATCCTGCAGGTGCTCATTATGTAGCCAGTGAAAGGTAGGTGCTATTTGATGGTAAACGTGCTAAAACCAGTAAGATTCAGTTATCCCTATCTTCTGTGTGCTGAGGAGTCTACTGCCAGAATATTTTGTAACTAAATGTCATGACATTCAGCAAGAAACACATTATAATAGAAGATAGGGTAAACCACCACCAACAGCCAGCTCACCAATGTTTGAATTCCCCTTTAAAGAGATAAAACTTTACATTATATTATTAGAGATAAGGTTTAAATCAGAACTGTCCCAAGAGAAATAACACAGTGAATCAAATCTAGGCTTAGGCAGTGGTTTTAGATTTGTCCTTCATTAATCTCATATGCGTTAAGGGTTCTTCCTTCTTTCAATCAGGGCAGCTCAGACCTCCTCTATTTTACATATCTGAGCTCTTCCGAAGTTTTAATTTGCAAGAAGGAACACCTTTCCTTGTTCCTACACCCAACAAGTAAAAATCAAACTAAAGTTTCAATACAAAATCTCTAATGAGATATTCTTTGAAAAATAACCAGCTTTTTAAGCAGGCTCAAAGCGAGGGAAGGCTCAGAACATGGAGGAGTTGGGAGAGCTATGCAAAGTCGCTGGAGGTGGGAGGAGCTGGAGCTATGCTGAATGTTCCGTGGATGAAGAGTTTCATAAGGTGGAAAGTGAACAAAATCTCACAAAAAAACTTGAAATGAATGTTTATGCTCAATTTTTTTTTCACGTGTACATGAAAAAAATGAATTTTTAAAAATTTTTTTCTCAAAAAAGAGTTAACAAAATGAAACCAAAATTTTGGGGAATGTTTCTCACTTCCATATAGACATATCAACAACTTTTCTACAACATATTCTATATTTACACCTTCTTCTTCAGTTCCACATTGAAGGCATTTTGCTGAAGTGTCTCTTTCCTACACTTTTCCTCATGTCTCCCTTTTTCTGTCTCTCCTCCTCTTTAGCAAAATATTTACTTTCTACGCTACAAAAGTAATCAATATGTTTCCTACATACCTCCCAGAAATTTTACAGGATACCCCACCATCCAAAATCTTTCTGTGTTATTTCTTTTGGGTTAGACTACTAAGAAAATGTAGGGGAATTCCAAGCTCATAGCACTGTAACTTCAAATATAATTTAAGGGATTATGGACATAATTTAAAGGCAAAATGAAATGAGAGAACATTCCTCCTCTACTTCCTGGATCTTCCTCCCTTTCTACCTTTTCCATCTTTAAAAAGTACTATATTATACAAATGAAAAGAAACTGCACTATCCAAGTAAAATATACTGTATTACACAAGTGAAATGTACTATTTCTGTGACACAATTCCCTGGAGAGATGCTAGGTGACTAATGTCATGTTGAGGGTCCACAAGAACCAAAGAAAGCTAACAGAATAATAATCTCACCTCTCTGTGCAGCACTATATGTTTTTCAGCCATGCTGTCTAACCCTAAATGTAGGATTGCTTGTCTTGTTACTAAATCTAGATCAGCCCTGGAAGAAAAAAAGGTGTAGCTAATAACAATAAAATCTACTTAGAGAATAGATCCGAAGTATTATTACCATACACATATGCATGCACACACACAAAGGTAACTAACTATATGAGGCAACTGATATGTTAATTAGCATGACAGGGGGCTGGGGATTTAGCTCAGGGGCACAGTGCCTGCCTGGCAAGCGCAAGGTCGTGAGTTCAATTCCGGGTACCAGAAAAATACAAAAATAAAAAACAAACAAATAAACAAAAAAATTAGCTTAACCGGTAATATATGTACCTAAACCTCATGTTGTACACCTTAAATACCTACCATTTTTAGTTGTTAATGATAGCTCAGTGAAGCTATAAAAGACATATAATGTCTGTATATGTAATTTAAAGCTCTGTATGTAATTTAAAATTTTTCTAGCATATATTAATGTAAAGTAAAATTAATTGTAATAATATAGTTATGATAAAATATTTAACCATAACAAAATATATCCAAATAATATCATTTCAGCAAAATTAACATTAAAAATTAATGACATATTTTACATTTCTAATTTTTTGCTCTGCATTCAAAATCCGGTATGAATTTTATACTTAGCAACATCTCAACTTTGATGTTAAATTTTTATCAGAAATATTTGATGTCTTCTGATTTTGTACAATATTCATGTGGAAAAGTAAATTCACATATCCAAGTTGTTCGACACATGCTTAAAAGTTTTCCAATAACTTAATTACCCATTTTAAAATTGAAACTGAAATTAAATTAAATACTCAGTTCCTTTATAACTGCATTTCAAGCACTGAGGAGCCACATAAGGTACTGGATACAGTATTGTATATCAGTTAATTCAGACCTGTCAGAAGTTGGTTCTACTTAAAGGGAGTGACATGTACCCTAAGAGTAGTCATCTCAGGGATATTAATTAACAGAAAAGATTCTAAGAGTTGAAATGTCACACACTGTATATCAAGTAATTAGGCAAGAATGAGTACTCACATTTTGCTTTTTCAGGCAGAACCTCTGCTGTATCCATGATGGGAGGTTAGAATGATCTTTTCTGGAAGGGTGAGCTCCGAGTCCTTAAACAGAGTCATAGGAAGTAATTCAGTGCTGATGAATATTTTAGCTATTTCTCTTATCACTCATAAATAGATGAACAGTTAATGCTGCCACATATTATTCTTCTGCTCTAAAACCTTCAGTGCTTTACTGGGTGGGGCCCTGTAGTTTATGGAGTGCTTGTATACACACTACCTTACCAGCTCCAAATAGCCCACGCTATAACTTGGAAGGCTTCAATGTGTCCCTCAAGGGTTCATGGATTAGAAGCTTGGTCCTCTGGGTGGTGGTGGTGGTACAGGACATTTAAGAAGTGGGTCCAGCGTTAGGACCCTCAGTCAACTGAGACACGTCATCAGAAGTGGCTGTGGCACTTTAGCATCTTTGGCTTCCTTCTTCTAAGAAGGAATTTCTTGCTTTCACGTGTACTCCTGCCATAACACGGCAGCTACAGCAGAGCCCTCACCAGGGCTGGGCAAAGGCCAGCACCATGCCCTTGAACATTCAAAACTGTGTGCTGAGTAAACCTCTTCTCTCTTTATAATTAGCCTACCCTATGCATTGTTATAGCAGTGAAACGAAAAGCAGCCTGATAGGAACTACTGTCCCACCTATGGCACTCGGAGAAGTAAAACAAATTATTAACATAAATAGCTGTTAGCGGCATGGCCGGAACTCACATCCAGATATTTGAGCCTAAGACCCAAGCAAGCTCATCTGATTTCTCACTACTTTGCAACTAATATCTAATTAATACAAGGCACACGCCTGATACAGTCCTACCTTTAAGCTTCAGTCGGTTAGTATGCTAAACAAATGCCCTATTCTATCATCTAGATTTATCAATATCGTATCTGTTCTTAAACCTGGCTCTGAATCCCGCTTCTCCCATGCATCTAATATCTCCATGGACACAGTATCAGTTACACTGGTGCAGAGCACTGTGCATTTACACAGAATTATAATTAAAAGTGGGATATTAAATGCTTTAAGGAGCCTGAAGGAACCTCTTGTCCTAAAACTCTCAGTATAACTGTTCAGTTGCCTGACTCCATCCTTAATTTATGAATGGAATACTCTAACCCTGTTAAACAGTTAGGGGATTGTTTCACTAATCATGTAAGCCTGCTTTGCCCTATGAAAGTCATGACTCCATAGTCAGATAAAGAGCTCTAACACTTTTCCTCAGCATCACTCAGAGGGAGGAAAAATACTGCAGTTACAGTTTTAGAATAAATCTGAAACATCCAAAAAGATGAGTGCCTAAATTGTGAGTCATATCACAGGCAACAGCCCAGAGCATGCACCTTGTCTGCCCGGTTCTGCAAATAAGCCTGGATGGATTAAAATGCCGCACCTCCCTCAGCAATGACCAATCAGAACTCATATTCTGGTTTGACTTAATTATTGTCTTCTTACATTTAAATATAAGAGGAAAATCAAACTGCTTTGTGCTCTGTCATTTTCTTGTTTGAATCTCCATAGAAATGGACATTTCTCTACAGCTGTTGGCTCCTCCACCTTAATTCATGGTGTCACAAGTGTCATCCTACATTAAACTGGCTGGCAAGCAAGACATCCCACTGTCCTTTCAATGCAGGATAGTAACCAAGCACCATACAGGTGCTGTCATGGTAATGCTCCCACTAACCGAGGTGATGGGTAAAAACTCTGAGAGGGCAGATGGGGGTGAAGGAAGGCCTTAACGCTGAAATTCCTTAGAGACGAGCACAGTTACAAAATCAGAAAATAGCGTGTTTTTCCCGTTTAAGCTATGAGATTGTGGGTGCCTCAAAAAGCACTGATCACTTAATAAATATATATGTGGTGTATGAGTTGCACAAGCAGTTGGTCATCTATTTTGGAAGAAAAGGCAAAAACCTTGTAAGTAAAGATACAAACAACTATATACTAGATGTCATAAGAAAGTCTCAAGCCTTATGAATTAAGTTATAAACTCATTAGTGCCATGAATTCAAACGAAAATGACAATATCAAGGGCTGAGAATGTGACAGAAGGAAGTTCAAGAGGGACTGGGCTACTCCTGGAAAGATGAACACAGAGGTGACAGTGAAACCAGGACAGGCTTTAACCAATCCAAACTGGATTCCAGCCAGTAAACCCCTGCAGCATGGAATACCAGTCCGGAGTGGGTCAGAGTTAATCTGAGAGGAACAGAGAAGGCAGGCAAATAAAAGTACAGCAGATGACAAGTTGAGAATGCAGTACACAGTGAGGAGCAGTAAATAGTGCGACTGGCTCAGCAAAGAGCTTATTTTCTGTGGCTGAAATGGATAATGAACTCAGTATTTTGAACAGGTGCTGGCATAACCAGTGTTCTGGAATGCAACTTCTATAAAGGCGAGGAATTTATTTTTCTCCCTGCATTACTCCCAGTACCTGGAACAGGCCTATCATGAAGAAGTACTGCAAAAATATTTGCAGAATGAGTCATTTTGGCAATAGGGTGCTGGCCAAACAGGGATGCCCTTCCTTCTCACACTTGTCCCCTTTAGCACATTTTAAGACCCTTTACCCTGTCTCTGCCAGTAGATGCAATTTAAGACTCTCCTAAACTGAGTTACAGGAATACTAATGCTTTCTAATTCCATTCCTACATGGATAAAGACAAACAGAAGTAGAAACTATTTCCTTATTCCCATAGCTTTAAGAAGTTAAAGTAGATGACTAAAATCATTTTACCATACAGTAGTATCTACTTGTGGTTTATACCTAGATGTCCCCTGAGACCCTTAGGCATTCGTAGGTGGGGCTTTTGGAAGGTAGTTAGATTATGGGGACTCATAACTGACTTGCTGGTAGGAGGTGGGGTCTGGTCAGAAGAGGCGGGTGACTAAGGGTGACCTGAAAATCTTCTTCTCTCCCCACCCTCTCTTCATTTTCTCTGCCTCCTGGCTGTGCTGTGCTCTGCCGTGCTCTGCCGTGCTCTGCCGTGCTCTGCCATGGAGCCAGTCGACTGTGGACTAAAACATGAGCTAAAATAAACTTCTCCTTCCTTATTTTGTGGGAGTAGATATTTTGCCCCAGCAATAAGGGAACTAAGAGTATACTTTTGATCTTAAATGTGCCCCTTAAAATCCCATGTGTTGAAAGTTTTCTCTCTAGCTTCATGCTATTGGAGGATGGTGGAACCTATAATAGGTGGGGCCTAGTAGGAGGGAGTTAGGTCATTGGGGCTGTGCCCTCAAAGAAGATATTGCGATTCTGGCCCCTTCTCCCTTTTCATTTTCTAGCCACCTGCTTTGGTCAACAGCATTCCTCTGTCACGTGCTGCCAACATGATGTACGGTGTCTTCAAAGACCTGAAGTGATAGAGCCAAGCAACCATGGACTGAAGCTTCTGAAACCATAAATAAAGCTTTACTCATAATAAGTGATTATCTCAGAACAAGTCCCAACTAGGGGGAACATGGGAGGAACAATAATAGATATCTAAAATGGATAATGGTATGATAAATGAAAGAAGATTAGAGGAATTATAATTGCACACTTGAAATTATGAACCAAATTAGAGCCATAAAATGGGACAGAAAATCCTTTATGGGCAAGACTATCAGATAAAATGAAAACTCAGAGGTCCCATGCAACAGTAGCAAACCGGGGACTAACACTCCATTCTTGATGCAGATACGCCTTCTGAGTCTTGAACTTACACATAGTAATGCATTACCCAGAGTCAGGGAATGGGAAGGAAAAGAACATAACTGAGTCATTAGGCTATTTCTCTCCCCTACCACAAACCGTCAATATAGGTGCTCTGTGGCAGCAGAAAACCTGGATTTCAGTCCCAATCCCATCACTGTCAAAGTGTATGAGCTGGAAAAACCACATGACTTCTGAGATCTACTTCCCTGTCTATAAATAAGGGATTTTAAAATAATGAAAAAAAAAGAACAGCAGCCTTGACCTATGTTCAAAATAATTCTCAGCAGGCAAAGTGAAAAGTAAAGGTGAACATTTGAGCTGCTCTGATGGAGACGGTCTCAGAGCCTCCCCCTGAGGTGCTCCTCACTCCTACCTACCCTCAACTGCAACAGCCTGAGAAGTTCGGTGTCACTGATGCCTTCTAGATGTAGGATTTGACTTGTTCATAAAAGTGGTATTGTGTTCTACTAGCCGGCAGTCAAGCATGGACACACTTTAATTAAGATATCTCAAAACTTTCCAGTCTTACATAAGATATTTAAATCACAAAAGAATGATTACTTTTATTTCAGTTCTCAGTTCATTAAAAAAGGAGATGCTGACCCGAGAATACGCTCCTATGATATGGTAAAATACACTCTTGTTCATCTTAGCCTCTCTTTATGGGTAAAAGAAAACTGAGCCTTCTGAGAAACATGGAGCTTTTCTGTGAACTTATTTTAGGAATCTGACACAGTAAAGCACAATAATATGATGTAGCAATAGTGAACATGTACACTGAAGATTACTTTGAATCAAAGATCACCAACTGGGATGCTGGGCTGGGATTGGTGAGTTTAGACCACTTGTCACAATGACAAGTGGAATTATCTCAGAGAATGAAGGACACATGTCAGATGGAGCCAGACCTGAGTAAACAGATCAGCTACTTGAGGGAATTAATGTATTGAATTCCAGTGCCCATATCAGCCAAAATTATACGTCCAAATATGCCATAAAGACAAGAAATAACTTTTATAAATTGATGAAAAAGACGTTTTAATATACAAATAGACAAAAGACTGGAATGGATACTTTGCAGGGGGGATTTTTCAAATGGGAAATAAACATGTTGAAAAAAATGCTCAAAACTCATTTGTCAACCAGGAAAACACAAAGTAAGACCATATCCACATTTTAAAAGTCATCCAAAAACATAACTTTTAAAAAATATCAAGTGTTGATGAGGATATAAAGCCACTGATATACTCATGTACTACTTATCAAGTATAAAGTGGTAATCTTTACAAAACTAACTGATAGTTCTTCAAAAACTAAATCTACACCTATGATGCAGCCCTCTGACTAACCACA